GTTAGTGGGACATAGATGGATTTAAAGCATGATTACGTCACTACGCGCTGATTGGCTAATTTCCCATCCAATCAGCGCCTGATCGAAGCTTGGAGAACAGGATAGAAAATTCTCGTATTATTAGCTGCATGCTGATTGGTCAAATCCAGCCCAGTCGATCACGTGAATTTTCTTCCAGAAGTTTTCTCATGTAAAGGCAATAAATAGACTAGCATTGTATTTATCTTTGCCTTCTTAGCCTTCAAGCCTTCTTGCCTTCTAGCCTTCTAGCCTTCTTCGCTTTCAAGCCTTTTTGCCTTGGCTTTCGCCATCACCTCCAGCTTCTTTTCCTTGCTATTTTGGAATACAATCCTTCCTGTTCAACCGTGTTCTGATTTGTGTTACTTGTCCAGTGTTTTGTGTCAAGAATACTAGGCAATAAGATTTAGCCGGGAAATATCGTCAGCAACCGTTACAACAGTGGCGACGGAGAAAAAGAAAAATACTTTCAAGATGCCTATTTCAGATGATCAGCTTAACCGAATACTACAACAACAGCAAGCACAATTAGATGCACAAATGCGGTTGTTGGAGATCCTAACTCAACAGCTCAACATCCAGTGTTCGAGTCCACATACTGTTTCAAATACGTCTTGTGAAGCAGTGGCAAACAGCATACCAGAATTCGTCTATAATCCTGAATGTGGAAATACTTTTCTGACGTGGTTCAAACGTTGGGAAGATACATTTAGAATTGAATTCGGTAAACAAGACGATGCATGGAAGACTCGGTTGTTGCTGCGTAAGTTGGGAAGCAATGAGTATGAACGTTACGCTGACCACGTATTACCGAAGTTACCTCGAGAGCTCAGTTTCGAGGAGACAGTAACTCAGCTGTCAGATATTTTCGGCGAATCATCATCATTGTTTAGTATTAGATATCATTGTCTAAATCTGGTGAAACACGAAGATGATGAATATGCGGTTCTTGCAGACGTCGTCAACAGAGAATGTGAACGGTTCAAGTTACGCTCGTTGACGGAAGACCAATTTAAATGCTTAATATTCATCAAAGCTCTTCAGTCACCGCAAGATGCGGAAACCAGAACTAGACTTTTGATTCGAATGGACCAAGACCCAAACGTCACACTCAGAACATTGACAGATGAGTGTAAACGCCTACAAAGCATCAGGCACGACAACATGTTGATTGAACAGGTAAATCACAATTTAACCAGCAGTAGTGTCAATGCTATTACTAGGTTAAAGGTCCAGAAGCCGATAACATCTCGTAACAAACCAACGACGGCATGTTGGTTATGTGGTGATTGGCACTACGTACGATTTTGTCCATTTAAAAAACATAAATGTCAGATGTGCCATAAACGTGGACATAAAGAAGGCCATTGCCAACCAGATCGTACGTCTCAGCCCAAGAAGAAGCGCAAACGTACTCGACATGTGGTGAAATCAGCCGAGTCTAAATCACTTTCTCTCGTAGCTGCTTTTCAAACAGAATATGACGTTCGGAGAAAGTATGTTACTATCCAGATGAACGGTGCATCAGCTCGTTTCCAAATCGACACGGCATCAGATATCACCTTAATGTCTAGAGAAACGTACAACATGCTGGGAAAACCGCCAATGAAGCCATCTAAGAAAACAGCTAAAAGCGCTTCAGGTGGTGTGTTAAAACTGGTTGGTGAGATACACTGTGAATTTTCCTTCAACGGAACAAAATGTACAGGTATATGCTATCTGACAGAACGGCCAAACCTTGATCTTCTTGGTCTAGATATGCTAGAAAAGCTGGGAATAATGGATTTACCCATTAACGGTGTCTGCAGCGTATCGTGTTCATCATTGGACACCCCGATACTTAAAAAGAAGACAGATGAAAGGTTACAAGATAAACGAAAGAGGAAGTCAGCCTCTGTTTCTCAGAATAGCCTTGGCCGCTGTACGAATCTGAAAGCTAACCTACCAGCGAAAGCGGATGCCAAACCTACTTCACGTCCGAGACGCCCTATACCATATGCTGTTCATGAGCCTCAACAAAACTTATCGGTGGGGAAGCAGCCCGATCGATGGTTGTTTAAAGATATGGTTCCTACAAAGCAGGCGGCTCGTAAGAGTACGGGTGGCAAGGCACCCAGGTCGCAGTTGGACCCTAGCACCAGATCCTACGAATCTTCTCAAAGGGGAGGTGTTAGTGGGACATAGATGGATTTAAAGCATGATTACGTCACTACGCGCTGATTGGCTAATTTCCCATCCAATCAGCGCCTGATCGAAGCTTGGAGAACAGGATAGAAAATTCTCGTATTATTAGCTGCATGCTGATTGGTCAAATCCAGCCCAGTCGATCACGTGAATTTTCTTCCAGAAGTTTTCTCATGTAAAGGCTATAAATAGACTAGCATTGTATTTATCTTTGCCTTCTTCGCCTTCTTCGCCTTCAAGCCTTCTAGCCTTCTAGCCTTCTTCGCTTTCAAGCCTTTTTGCCTTGGCTTTCGCCATCACCTCCAGCTTCTTTTCCTTGCTATTTTGGAATACAATCCTTCCTGTTCAACCGTGTTCTGATTTGTGTTACTTGTCCAGTGTTTTGTGTCAAGAATACTAGGCAATAAGATTTAGCCGGGAAATATCGTCAGCAACCGTTACAACACCAATTGATCCACCATCTTTACCTAGTAACCTTTTGCTAACAGCAGCATTGCCTACTCGATGCCCCCAGGTTACACGGGCCATACTTCGAAGACACCTATGATCGAATACTAATAGCGTACGAATATCTTTTACGCATACACATATGTATACGCATATATATATATATATATATATATATATATATATATATATATATATATATATACGCATATATATGATACTCCACTGATAACAACTCCATTCTAAGACCAATATGACGTAACTAATTAACTTAGCACATTTTCATAACATATAATTTGGGTCATACCTATAATATGAATTGAGCTAACCAAATGAAGGTGAACAAAATAGGTTCAAACAAGGCACTCAACACAGAAAATTAGCTAATTAAACTACTAATCTTATTATTTATTTATTCAGACACAACCAATGGTACAATAGGGCACCAATACATGTAGATGCATCACAATAAAAATGAGGTTATTAAGAGATGGTAAAAGGAAGATGAGTTTGATAAACGGAGAAGAAAAATGAGACGAGAGTGAGGTAATAGTAATAATAATAACGGGAGAAACAGTTCAGTCCAGAAAGATGTAACCACTAGTTTTTATTCTGAGACATATCTGATAAAGTATCACTCCACTGAATTGTACTATCTTTAGGATCCCAAACAGGGAGTCACAAAAGACCAACAGAAGCCAGTCTTTTAAAGCCATATTTCATACCACGACATCATATGATGAACTGACTACTTTTCTGTTTTTCCGACTAGTTCTGGTGTTTGTAAAGGATTTACGATAAGAAACTTCCCGGTACGACATTCGTAGTACATGCCGAAGCCATTGAAGTAGGTATTTTAAGACAGTGATGGCAATTGAATTATCCTCATTGTCCCCGAATACATGTTGCCGCATTACTAACATGGTATTAGGACTGAATGTCAGCAACGATGATCAACACAGGGACGCTTAACATACCCAACCTGAAGCGGCCAGGTTCCACAAACATAGAGCACAGTTGCTCCAACGAATTGTGCACCTGACTTTTTACAACTAGACTAATATCACGAAAGTGCTAAAGATGGCCAAGATTGTCATAGGTTGTTCTACCTTTTAATATATGTGAATTAATCTCATCACTCATTTCACTACCAGTACTTATACAGGTAGCTGGATACATGAACTTCTCGACTACTATCTACTTACTGCAAAAAGTGAGTAGGATTTCATGGTCCTACAAATTTTGTAAAAGTACTTTGCATTTAGGTGAAAAGCACATTCCATACGGACAGCGATTGTCAACTGGTTAAGTGTAGATTACATGGGCTATGTATTATTGCACAGTATGACAATATCACCTGCATATTCGGGGTCGAAGTCTTTCTCCAAGTAACAGATTTACACCACCATTACCTAGATACATTAGAACTGCTTTCATAATGTAATCGATGTCACAGTTAAAGAGGAATGGTGGCAGTGGGAAATCCTGTCTAACCCCACTGACTGAATAGAAGGATGGAGAGAGGTAGGTTGTTTGACATAGGGTCTTCCATATGTTAGTTAATTCTTCAAACTCTTCTCCAGCAGATAGTCCCAGCGGACAACCCTGTCAGATGAATCAAGGGCGGCCTTGATGTCAAGAAACGCAATCGTTAGTCTGGAATTATTATGGCAGAGAGTGGGGATTTAACCAATACATCCTCGACCAGAAAGAAAATCATCCTGCTCCTCGTGAATCAATCTTCCTCCGGTTTTGAATTATTTGTGAAGTATGATGGAAATTAATAATTAAGATGCGGTCGCAAGTAAACATCCCCGACAGTTGTTGCATAAGTGACATGAACCCATTTTAAAGAGAGACTACTATTAACTCATTCCACAATGTTGCAACACACAATCTGATCGATAACAATGGGAAAACAGACCAGTTGGACTGTTCCTTGAAAAACTCTGTCCGTCGTCCAAGACGTCGGTAGATATTATTGGCCGGAATTCCATTATATTTTTTCACTTATACCAGATTTCTTGCTGTCAGTAACTTCCATGAGTTAAAAGAGCTACCGGAAGTAACCAGATGCAGCTATATAGTATAATACTGTACTTATAGGTCAGTTAGTAACCTACGACATTGCCATACCACGTTAGCACAAAGATCAAATCGACAATTCAAAATACCATAGAAGTAGAGGTTGTAGCAGTTTTAGTGGTCAGTCAGTCAGTTGCAACGTAGAACTTCGTACGTAAGTACATCAGTTAATGTTGCGATACCACATCAGCACAGAACGCAAATGTCAAATCAAATCCCATAGTGATAAAGATAGTAGAGGTATTAATGGTAATAAAGAAGACTAGGGTTTGAAGATATTATTCAAAAAGTATAATTCAGTGAGATAAGGTTAGAAAGACAAAGGTAGAGGTGCTGACGAATCCAGATTAGGATTTGAGAGAGCACAACGAATGGATGCACTTGCGCCATTGCAAACGATTTTGAGCCATGTCGTCCAAGGTCTCTAACCATTGGTGACTTTTTAGTGGTAATGCAGGTTAGGGTTCGAAGATATGGTTCGAGAATTATAATCCAGTGATGTAAATTTCAAGAGGAAAAACGGTCAAGGACTCGAAATTGAGAGGAGAAAAAGAATGGGTGCATCTGCATCGTTGCAAACAATTTCGAGCCATGTCATCCAGTCTCTAATCTTCGTTTATGACCGTCT